AGCCAGGTAAAGAAAGCTGTATCTTTTCCTAATACTTTTCTACAGGGGAAAATTTTAATAAAAAAGAATATACTGCACACATCCGAGAAAATACTCATATAATGATTCTTTATGATCTTTATTCCAATGCCTACAGCACTGAGTTACTTAAATCAGAGACATTTATGTTTCTGCCTAAATTATGCTTTCAGGTAAAATTTCTTTTCTTCGAAATTTATTTATTTATTTTTTTGTTTCATTTTTCATATATATAGTTTATTCGGCATTAATTATCGACTGACTAAAGTGTACATAAAAGTAAAGTTTTTGCCATTGTATATATGCATTTAATGTGAGTTGTTATTTAAATGTTTTTCACTGTTTTCTTTCGTCAGTAAATCTTGGATCCACGCCTTGGCTTATACATTCAATATGCCATGTTTTGTGTATTTTGATCCCCGCGCGCTGACCATCGTTTTACGCAATAACTTAGATACAATGTTTATGTACATAAACCGTTAATGAAGACCCACCACCACCCAAGTGATCCTACCTCTATTACTCTTAATGAACACTGGTGTAGTTTTACTTTAACTTTAAGGTGGACCATTTTGTTTAATAATAATAAGACAGACTTTGGTCAATTTTGTTTACATCTCTATATTTAGAAATCGTGTCATCGTCAGTTCCTTTGCCAGACCACCAGTTTATCGATGGCAGCTTACACTAGGACTTTACTTCCGGTGATTCAAACTTAATGTGTCATCTCCCGAGGGAGATGACAAACACATGAATATCCTTCAAGCTTAAGTTGTACGTTAACCGGTATGAGCTGTTGTTTTACTACACTACCAAATCATACAAATGTTAAGTATGAAAATTCACAAGTGTTTTATGTATATATGTATGAATAATATTAAGTATTTAAGTAATTTGAATATACATTTAATCATTATGCACACAAAATATTCTTCATTGACTTATAACAACAGAGGAACGTGTTCTTTGCAATTTTGTTTAGGTGTGACCCTTCATTAGCAAGCAAACTGCATAGTAGGTGCCTGATAACACTCAATTCATAACCTCTTAGCAAATAATGATTCATAATTTCTGGTCCCGTGTCCAAGCAAAGTTAGTAAAAATATTGAAAAAAAAATCTTTGAAAAGTCGTTCTTTTCCGAATGAGACTTTGTGCATGATTGAAATGAGTACTTTACCTTTCACTAAAGTTGTGAAATGAACGCAAGCCCTCTAGACTACCAAAATTGTGAAATTCAGCCCCCCCCCCCCCTTCCATAGGGTATTAATTCAGAATCCAGAGTGGGGCTAACCTAATCATATATGGAAAAGTATTTAAAGTTTGAAAAACCTCTTTACTCATGGACATTTAATTGCCAAGATGCATGCATGATAGTTGTTAACACTTCGCCACCTTCCAACATTTTATGTCCCCGGTTCCGTCTTGAGCATAGTTGATCATTTCAAAACAGATTTCCATCGGTGACATTTGCCATCTAGCAGACAAATTGTTTGCATGATTATAATGAGCAGCTAACCCTGCAGAAAAATTTTAAAATCCATGTCGCCCAGTTCCAGGAGTCAAGTCCAAGGGTGAGGCTATGTTGGTAATATATATTGAAATTTATTTAACAGTTGCCATGTACCTTCTTGTTTATACTCCTGCGCTTATAGAATAAAGGCTGCATGAATATAGCAATAATTATAGAGACTTAATCAAACTGTAGATTTTTTGTCCAATGACTTCAGATTTGCAGTTAAGGGTGTGGTGCAAAAGTGGCCACAGATTGAGACACGCATGATAGGTGACAGTCAAGACCCATGAGCCTCTCATTTATTTTTATGTAAATTGGTATGATTCTAAGAGAGGAATGTGTGAAATATGAAAGATTTCACGTTAAGTATTAGATAAATATTTGTTGTTTTATTTTTCTTGTGTACAACAGAGACATATACCATGGACAGCCAACAAGAAGAGAACCCAGAGTGTTTATCTTTCAAGGAAAAACTCAAAAGGTTTCAGGTTCAAGATGTCCTTTCTGAGAAACCTTCCAGGGTAATTCAACCATTTCTACAATTATCTTCAGTGGCCAAGTTTTTACTAATTGTGCTTTTAGAAGCAGAATCAAAAACACTTGGCTAACGAAGTCATGATGTATTTTTCTTGTGTTTTTTTTATTTATTGACAACCTATTTACGATAAGATGCTACATAAAATTATATAATTTGAATTCTTTAAAAGTAGCAAACAGTTTACCAACATGTGACATCTGACATTCAAAATGCAACTTTGAAAAATCATGCTAATTTGTAAGATAATTAAGTTTACCTGCAACTTACGTGTGTTGACATGCGATGACATACCTGCTTTTGATTTTTTTTTTCGTTTATTGAACTCAATAATAGCTTATTAAAAATAAGCTGAATGTAGTCATAGATAAGTTGCATGTCAACATAAGTTAGCTTCATGTTAACACAAGTATCGTGCATGCTGATGTTATTGAAATGTATGTATGCATGTAAGATAACACTACAGGCAAACCGTGCTCTTTTTGAAGGATTATATACAGTGATCGATAAAAAAAATCAATAGGAATCTGTGAACAGGGCAAAATACACGGACCTCCGAAAATTCCAGAGGAGTATCAGGTCGACCGAACACCTTCGCCGTGAGCCCTAGCTAAGTATTGATCATTTAGAGCGAATATTCCGCAGTCAAATAAAGTATAAAAATAAAGGCCTTACAATTGGTATAAGAAACGCCAACCAAAATACGACCCAGTGATATGTTATATTTGCTAACAAGGTCATTAGAACGACTAGACTCTAGAAATGCTGACTTTAAAACAAGGTGGTTGAAATCATTGTAGCATCAATTTATCTATCAGAAGCCTGTCTCGGTTCAATAAATGAACGTACTCAGAGCATGCTCTTGAGTATAGATTGACTTGAGACGTGAACCCTATATACAGGTGATAAGAGAATATAACTACATAAATTAGGACAGTTGACGATGGAAAAGCTTATATCATCTCGTTTATCATACAATTTAGTTGTTAGTTGGTCCTTATCGGCTGTTATCATTAAAATATTTAAGTATGAAACAGATGTGGCAGACTCGTTGGTGTCTTTTATTTCGAGTTCACAAGGATATATTGAGTCGATATGAGTGGAAAAAACTATAATTTATTAATTGATAAAACGTCGTCGATACGAGGGGTGATCAAAAAGTTCGCGAACTAAATGAATCACTTCCTTAAAAGAAATAAAATGAGGTTTCATTATTTTTTAAAGTAGTCCTCTCCAATTTTAATGCACATCTGTCATTGTTCTGCACATGCGCGAATCACGTGATCCAGACAGTCACGTGACATGCTTCGTAGCGGTCTGTTCACAGAAGCTTAGAGATTTTTCCGAGTCTTATATTTCTTACCATGCAAATAATTTTTTATAACAAGAACAGACCATCTGTCAGAAATGGCCAAATCTCGGCAATAGGATGGGTGGATAAGGATATTCCTTCCCAGAATTAGCATGGTGACTATCACAACCCGAGTTCCTCTGTCTCGGGAGCGTCGTTTATCCATTGTGGAAAAAGTATCGACGACTTCTTTTTTTTCATATCTCATATGTTTAAAATCTAAAGTAAACGATATTTTAGGAATTTAATATATATATATATTATTGCTCAGATATTCAACTATTTTTTTTACTGTAACTTGGCGATCTTTCAAAACAAATTGCTCATCTAAAGAGACATCTTTTTACGGCTTGCTTTCGCTTGGCAACAAAACAAACATTATTATTAACCATCTCCCTGCCTTCACTAAAACATTCAATCCAATTAATGATTGAACTTCTGGTAAGTCTTTTATCTTCATAAACCTTTTACAAATTATTATATTCTGCTGTAAAGGAATTTCTGAGATATACGTTAAACTTTATAGCCGTTCTTTGCTCGAGTACGACTGAGTCAACTATTTTTTGTCACAAGTGACCTACATACTGACGTCATTTTCACATTGTGACGTCACAAACACGGAGCAAAACATTATTTAACATCTCTATTTATAGAACATGTGTATGGCTATATGTGTGCCAAATTTCATTTTGATCTGAATTGTGGTTTTTTAAATACAGAGATAGTTCGCCAACTTTTTGATCACCCTCGTATGTCTATAGGTTAAGTTTAAGGCCACAACAAGTGTTTTCCTCATAAATAATAAAAAATGGTCGGCTAATAAAGGAATACAATTAGTGCCCATGGGTATTCCAACAGTTAGTCTCAAAAACTACATAAATGTTGTCAATGAGGGAATCTAACATCCTTTTTATATCAACTTCAGAGAACTTTGTAGAGTCAGAGTGAGCTTTATCAAAGTAATTTTGTAGATGACCAATCACGAGATAAAAATTTCTGCGTTCCATTTTTATTGAAGAAGCAGTCATCTATGATATCAAAAAGCTTAGTTTTTAATTATCATGAAAAATTGGCTGCATATTCAGTTTAGAAAAAAATGACATTTTGATGATTCTGACTTTAAAAAATTGTTTGTGATTTTACATTTTTAAAAAATTTCTTTAGAGTTTTTGAGAATCCATATCTGAATTAATATATTACACCATTTCTAGACTGTAGCACAGTGCGCCTGAAGTTTCTACTATACAGCAGTTATTTTTTTTAGGAGTAAAGAACTTGGTAGAGCATTTACTAGATCCGGTAATATGTCTTTGTTTTTAAGGATTTTCTAAGTTTAGGAATCCTGCATGTGTAGGGTAGACCGAGGTCACCCTGGTTGACTATTAAAAACTACGAAGTTCATCCTTAAAAATGAACTATGATTATAAGTTGGATTTCTAGAAGTATAATTAAAACCAAGTTCTTCTAGATCTAAAATACAGATATCATATAATGAGCCTAACAAAGACAATGCTACAAGCCTTGTTAAAAAAAGAAGTAAAATATTACATCTAATGAACAGAACTTTAGGGGGCAGACCTATGCCATCATAATAATATGACTCAATGATCTTTATTAGTATTTATATTTATGTCTGTAATTCCTAGGGACTGAAAGAGCCGGATAAAGTGTACAATAATAACACAAAAGCGAAAGTAAAAGTCCTTCCCACCAATACACCATTAGCAGCAAACAATCGACCAGATGATTGCATCGAAGAACATTTGTCCTCTAAACATGAAACGGTGACACAAAAATTACAATATCAAGAACATAGCATTGAGATGTCATCAGATTACATTGAACCATCTGAGAACATTGACGATTCAGACTTCGTCGAATATGAGGAAAGTGAAATCATTGAAAAATCATCACAAACGATAACTGTAGATAGTGAAGCTGTACGAGATAGTGATTCTGTGAATGTTGACATAGATGATGTCGTCAGCTCTCCAAATGATGATGAAAGCATAAAGAAAGGTACAAAAAGTTTGATTTTCTAATCCCTATTGTTTGAAAACTCATATACCTAAATGAATCTTGAGAAGTTCAAACCTGTAAATCATATATTGAACTGAAAAAACCCAGATGAGCTATTTTTGACAAATTACAATTATTGGTAAACGAATTGTTACCTGTATACTTTTAATAGTATCTTTTGGCAGCGTGTGATAATAAATGTTCACATTATCTTTTTCAGGAACAAATATTCAAGGAGAAAATTCCATCAAACAAGTAAATCAGAATGCTTCAGTTTTATCGAGAGGCATGTTACAGAGTCAATCTAATGTAACGGAAACCAATGAAACTTTAAGTTCTTCACATTTACAGAGAGGGACTTCTTTACCCCCTTACCCGACACCTCCCTATCCACTCGTGGATTCTATCACCGCCCCTCATTCGGCTTCAGTAGGACCTATGTTGAACTTTCAGCCTCGCATTGGCTTTGAAGGTTTTGTTAAGCATCCTCATATGGACTACACCAGGAGTTCGTCTTTGTACAGTACCAGTCAAAACCACCCATCACATTACATGATTGAACCTAAAATGCCGATGCCTAATCCAGAATATTCCGTCTCAAATTTAAATACAGATTCATAACATTCATTCTGAGAGAAAAAGAGGAGAATTTTAGAGATTGACAAGAATGGATGAATGTTCAGTGTTTTTTTTTTTAGCAATTGCATTAATCTTTGATCCTGTGACTGGTAAAATGGGAGTCAGAACGAGAGATTTGGTCAGTTAAAACACTTTAAATGCATTTCTTAAGAATAAAAATCATGCTATAATTGAAACGTCTACTTCTATTCAACTTCTATTCCTTCCATTAAAAACGTTTTCCTTTCCGTGAATGTCATTTTAAATGAACATGTACATACATGTATGTCATTGCCCATAAAAAGTGAGTGAACAAGCAGCAATGAGCTACATTGTTAGACTTCATAATTTTCTTCATTCAAAAAAAGTTTAGAAAAAGAATTTCAAAGGAAATTTGAAGAAAGTGTAAAGTATTGATGAATAAAGGTAATCTTTGGGTGTGTTGATGACCGTATCTTAAGATCCCTCCTAAGATATATCTTATGAACACAGTAAGACCTATCTTACGATGTAAACGTCAAAAAACTAAAATTAAATTCTATATTATTATATATTTTTAATTTAAAAAATTACAAAAAACTCGATACATTTAACATAGTATTGTGCATATCCATAAAAATGCACATACTTGAATACATAATTACATGTCCGTGCACCGTATTTATGTATAATTTCATAACGTTCAGTAAACTATCCAGTGGCTATGCAAGAGCGAACCACGGTCACGAAACCCCAACTGTGACAATGGTGACAACAAATAATTCAAAAAAGGATAAGACGGCTTTAAGGATGTTTTATTTAGTAAGATGGCTTCATGAAAAAAATGCTCTGACAATTTACATGATATAAATAAATCTGTGACAGCACCTACTGCGACACGGGACCTCGGTTTATACGGTCTCATCCGAAGGACCGGTCTCCGCGTCCTGCAGTGGGATTCGAACCCGCGACGTAAGGATCAATTCCTTACTCCGTGACGCTCTAACCACTGCGTCACGCGGGCGATAGTATTGAACGCTCTTGGATAATTCTAAATCAGTGCGAAAAAAATTAATAAAAGATAATATTGGAAAATTAAATATTACTTTATACACATAAACATTATATAATATATATTATGGACATTGTTTATTCAGGAATAAAATGCATTTAAATTGATATTCTAAATACAGTACAATCGATTTTTACAGACACAAACTTTAAAATTTTTTTTTTTTTTCTTTTTGAAAATTGTATTTTTTGAAGAAGAAATATCTCCACTAAAGACGTAACTTACGATGTGTATAAAATGGCTTCGGCTAAATTCTTACATATGTCTAAGAGTGGTCGTAAGGTATGTCTAACAATATACCAAAGTGGCTTTGGCGAGGTCAACAATGCGCTAATTCATGAATACCGAAAATAATTAAATCATTTATAATACAAGTCCAAACATTTGCAGCGCTAATTCATGATTACGCCAACTATCTCACTACCCACTAAATTTTAATACGGAAATTTATATACACGTACAGTACTTCCGGCATGTATATGTATTAAGTTAAGAGGAATCTTAGTATGATATCATGAACATGAATACTGAATCTCAACAGTCAGCAGCTCTTACAGACTATCAATCAACAGATAGATTATATTATCAAGAATTATATGGTCTTTATTTATAAATACAGTGCTTGAATATATTTATAAGAGGTATAAATAAGTACAGTTTTTTATTTTATAGGTTACCAAACTTTGCACGACCCACTTTATCCTTTCCACACTTATTCATCACTCCAAGGATAATGCATCTTTTTTTGAATGCAATTAAGTGCATTTATTCCTCTTGAGTATTTAGGAAAAAGTATGTGGTATTTCCTGAAAGTTTTTTTTTCAATCAAATACAACGAATAAAAGATGACAAAAGTATTTCTGACATGTCCATCATGTTCTTAGACGGCAAAACAAGATGCTTATTCATTGATTGTTGATGAACAATGGGCGATGAGTTGATAAGGTGTCTGGTGAACTTACAGAAGTTCAAACTGAATCACAGACAGCTGAGCAGCTCTAAAGGTAAGGCTTAAAGACTAGATACACAATCTCTAGAAGAAAGGTTTTCAAGGCATTGTTAACTTATGCAAGGAAGTAGAGAACAGCATTGAAGATAGTGCAACCGTTAAAAGCTGTAGCATTTGGGAAAAAAGATTGATTTATTGATTGATTTTATGTATTTTTTTACGTTCCATTCGAGAATTTTCCATTCATAAAAAGACGTCACAATAAACCGGTGAAAGGCTTCAAATTTTAAAACTTTAATCGGGACTCAGGGCCATTGAGCAGTAAGAAATCTTTATCGGGTAAACGCACGCCTTGGTTTTTAAGGTTTCATACAAAATGCTCTCAACTTTCACTTCAAAGTGCAAAGCGTTTGCGAAGGAACAGTACTAGTTGCTACCTTTTATTTCGACCTGGGTCAGTCGCGGCCGGGATTTGAACCCATTACCTTCCGATCACGTAGCTACCGCTCTACGGACTGAAATTCCTTGACGGTTTGGCATAAAGAACATATTGATAAAATTTTTAATGGATCAAAGCCGCCAGTTGACAGGAAATTAAACATGCACACCAACTGAAATTTCTATGCGAAGTTCACTTCCTGTATGCAGATTAAACATCAGTGTCGGTACCATCTGGAGATTTTATTTTTCTGTCAACATCACCGGAAAAAAGTCTTGATATATAGGCAGACTTGCACGGCAAATTTCAAGAATCGACCTCACTTTGAAATTTATTTATTTAAACAATAAAGTGCTTTTTTGGTTGTTAGAACGAGAATTGATGTTGCAGCTGTTGCAAGAAAAAAAATACATAACCTTCGTAAGCGGATTATGTAAAAAAAAAAAAATTAAATATGTTGAATATTATATTATAGATGTGTATGTCATTGTATGCATAATTGATGGAACAGCCATTGCTTAAGAAATCTATGCAGGTGGCTTGCTTAGTGTTGTTTACTGACTGATTAACAGCAATGGTTTTTAAAAGAAAGAAAGGAAATAATATTCTGTAGATGTAAATATTTATATATGATTCTCCTTTTATTTCCTAAACATTGAGTGTTAAAGTTCAGATCTGGGAGAAAAGTTTTGAACATCTTCTCAACAACCACTGGCCAAATTTAGTTGTGTTCATATGCTAGCATCCAAATAGAAATATTCATTGCCACTGAGGGTAGGTCGGGGCTAAATATTTCATAAGAAAATAAAATCATTTTTAAGAGTAACAGGGATAAGGCCAAGCTAAATCATATCAATATCAAAAAATTTGAAGTTCTGTTGATTTTTTTTTTTTTTTTTTTTTTTTTTTTTTTTTTTTTTTTTTTGTTTAATTTTGGACTGTTGGGTTGTGGCGAATAATTCCTTTCCATTGTATAAGTAATATGCTTAAATGCGTTTTAATAAAAAAAAAAACATTCATGTTTGAAATTTTAAACTATTTGTTTACCAATAAAAAAATCTTTAGAATAAAATCGAAATGTAACCATTAATCCTAAAATCGGAACTAAAGTTCCTGCCTACATATTCATGCAATATGGACCACACTTTTAGTATTGGACGGTTTTCCTTATTTCCTAATTCCAAAGTAAAAATATTTCCGTGTTTCAAATTGTTTGACGTATTTTTTTCAGCAATTTAAAATATAAACAAACAAATCGGATATTGGGGGTGATATTCTTGGATGATATCGTACATGTACCTACTTATCTTTTTTTCTAAATTTATTGTCGTCATTATCATGTATGTCCCTCTAGCTGCAGTGTATTTGTACTAAACTGTAAAGTTCATCTAGTAGAAAAAAAACCTTTAAATGTATCTTTGCTTACTGATTTAGATTGACAAAGTCAAATTAGGAGTAAGTAACAAAAATAGTTATCTCTGTTCAAGTCTCAAAGGAATCTATCGATAGATTTGCATGGCTTCAGTTTCTTATTCTATTTAAATTATCACTAATTCTATTTTAATTACCGTTCACGGTAGCTCAATCGGTAGAGCGCTCGCTCCGTGATCGGGAGGTCGTGAGTTCGAATCTCGCCCGCGACTGACCTAAGTCGATAAAACATGGGTAAGAACTGTTCCTTCGCCATGCGCTCGGCACTTTGAAGTTAAAGTTGCGGGTCCTTCGGATGAGACCTTAAAAACCGAGGCTCCGTGTCACGGCAGGCGTTGGCACGATAAAGATCCCTCACTGCTCAATGGCCTTGAGTGTCGAGTAAAGGTCAAAATTTGAAGCCCTTCACAGGTAGATGGTGACGTCTCTATATCAGTTAAAAATTCTCGAATGAGACGTAAAACAACATACAATCAATCAACAAATTTACTCAACCAATGTACTCATTTACAGTGAAATAGAAAGAAATAAGATGTAATTGAATTCAAGATGACTTTTCTTTGCTATCTTTGTGGTTGCACGTTGTGTCTAAGGTTGTGAGACATTAAGTTATACTTATATATCATTTTAAGACCTAACATTGAAACCATGGGGTTGGCATGAATTTTATTTTTTTTAAATGTTGCTTATGACATAAAGACGTAAAAGTGTAAAAACCATTTAAAAGATAGGCGTCAGGTTGTACAGGTGATATTGTGATGGATAGTGGTCATTGGGGAGAGGGTGATACTCGTGATGTTCATTTGTTAATTTTTGGGGCGGGTCAGAATACAACAGTCATGCATTTTATTTTTTATGAACCTTTCTTTGTTATAGTTTTACTTGAACTATCTGAAATTAAAATAAAAGTAAATGCTTAACAAATATTGAAATATCTACTATTCTGTGGGGCAAAATTTCTGAAAATGAAAATTATCATTCTTTTGCATCTTTCTTCCTTACTCCTTGAACAGATGTACTTCAAAAAACCTACTTATTTTAAAGTATATTCTTTAAAATGAATCACACCAGGAAAAAAAACAGTTCATACTTTCTGGACAGCCACATTATGATAATTAGTCATCGATAGCTTCGCATCTTTTAGAATAAACCGCAACATTTCAATGAATAAATGAGCATTAATATAGATTTTACATTCAATTCTGAAAACGAATTTCACTTTTTCTTAAATCTCGATTTAGGTATTTTGTTGAAAACTTTCACAAGTTCATTATTAATGAACTCGCAATGTGTCAGAACATATAATATAATAATAGAATAATAGAATATAATAATCATCTTTTCTATCATAAAATTTCTTAGAAGGGAGCAGAGATGAAATTAAACAAAATTGAAAATGATCACACAGTAGCCTTTTAAGCAAAACTAAAACAATGAAAAACTAAGGAAATATTTTTCTATGGTACAGTGTAAGGTAAGTAAGATAAGTATATGCAAAATATCATTCTTATGAAAATTAATTTCATTAGCTCATGACTTATTAAGACCCTAACATCCTAAGATCATTTGCTAGATTCATTGATAACCTTCCTTAGTTGAAAAACTGTAATAAATTTTGAGATGTATATAATGTATACCTTTGTTCCTTGATATACACAATGTATTCTTCCTGTTACTACTTGACTATGTATTATTTAAACAAATTCAACATATCTCTCGTATATGCATTTATCAATGATTATAATTCAGCACTGCTGTCATTATCTTAAAAGATTATGTTTGTTCTATTATTGGGATCCTCTTCCTTTTTTTTTATTTTGCTTTTTGTAAATTTAAAGTACTCCTCCGGGGGCCCAAATTGGACTAATTTGTTTATTAAAGCTTGAGCAATTGAAGCTTGTTTATTAAATACTAATTTGGTATATTAATATAAAATACCTCGAAAAATTATCTTCCTTCATCCGATTTCTATGTTTGAAATCATATATATATCAGGACATTTCACCATTTAAAATTTGTATGTCATTGAAAATCGAAGACAATGACCCCTTTCCACTTAACGTTTTATTTTTTGGTTTGGATGAAAACGTTTGACAACGCTTATTTGCAAGCAGTGAACGTTAGTTTTGCATCTCGTAAGTTTGATTCATTTTATATTATTTATAAATTTAATATTTATGTACATTGGAGACCCCTATAGCTAAAACAAGAATATTATTAGATATTGATATCAATCATTTGTTAATTAATTAATAATATTCTTCCTCATGAGTTTTACAAACACTGGTCGTTTATGGGAACAAGTCATTTATCCATGTATAATTTAAGGGAAATCATGAATTAGAATGTGTGCGTGACTGCACTGAATTGAAAAATATTATTTTAGCTGAACAAATTCAAGTACATTAACTAATTGTGATAATAGTAATGGCGCGGCCTTACTATTTACATGCTTATTAGTATTTGTCTTAATCTTGGATTCTTTATAAAATTCTTCTTCGATTCTTGCTCTTCTTAAAAAAATCATGTGTTGGTCATTTTACACTTTACAAGTGTAGATTTATACATTAGGCACGATAATAAGCAAACATGTGACCTTGACTTCACACTTTAAATCAAAATAAGTTTTTTCAGAATAGTTTTTCCCTTTTAACTCAGAACTATTGCTATTTTGGTGTAACATCAAAAGGGCTACGTGTCTGTTACTCTTTACGTCATTTTTGTATCGGTATAAAACTATTTTTTGGTTTGCCATAATATCAGCTGTGCAATTGACATGAAGAATTTGAGTTGATTCGATACACAAGAGCATGCTCTACGAATGAACAATATTCCTAAAACGAGGTACGTTATTGACAGACAAGTTGATGAAACAAGAATATCAACAGTCTCGATTAAAGTCTTCATTTCGTTAGTCCTATGGTCGAGTAGAGCGCTCGCTCCGTGATGGAAGGCTGTGAGTTCGAATCTCGGTCGCGACTGACCTAAATCGATAAAAAATAGGTAGCAACTCGGCACTTTGAAGTTAAAGTTAGTTGCGGGTCCTTTGGATGAGACCTTAAAAACCGAGGCCCCGTGTCACGGCAGGCGTTGGCACGATAAAGATCCCTCACTGCTCAATGGCCCTGAGTGCCGAGTAAAGGTCCAAACTTGAAGCCCTTCACCGGTATATGGTTACGTCTCTATATGAGTGAAAAATTCCGGAATGGGACGTAAAACAACATACAATCAATCAATCAATCCTATGGTCGATTCAACGACCTTGTCAGCAAATACAATCTATCACTAAGTCATATGCTGGCTGACGTTTTTCATACTAATTGTTCAGCTATTATTTACACACTGAATTGGCGACGGATTTTTAATGCTATTTCCCGATCACGACAAGGAGCACATGGCGGGTGTGGCCGGTCGGCAGGGGATGCTCACTCCTCCATGGCACATGATCCCACCTCTGATGTTTTTGGAGGTCCGTGTTTGCTATGCTCCCGACTTGTAGTTTTAATCGACTTTGGGCTTTAATACTATTCGTTATCTCCATATTTTATTATAACAATTTTAGTTCATAATTGAATTGGTCTGTGACTTGAGTAGTGTGCTCTGATTTGGAAATTAAAGATTGCTTTTATTTAAAAAAAAAAAGCTAGCATTTAAGGTCTTATTTTTCTTGTAGTTCTTTAATAGTGAATCAGTATTCTTATATATTGTACTTATTGATATCTGATTCGAGGAGAAGCTTTTGTTAAAAAAAACACTATTACCCTCTGAATGATGAAACCAGGCCCTCCATCGAAGCAACAGTCAACATTGCTTGACGACGGGTGATATTCAAACTATTGACTGTGCAGAATTTATAAGCACATGATTCACGATTATTTGTATGAATTATTCAGTATTATATGATAAATAGAGCATGTATAGTTGAGGGTAACATTAAATATTTTCACCCCAAGAAAACCAATGTCAACTACTGCTGCGCCTCGTTTAATAATGGTTCTCTTTGGGTGAAAATTTTCAATGTTACCCTCAACTAAATGCAGTATTTAAGTATTTATATAATATTAACCTTCGTTGTAATATACTCTTGTCAATTCTCATCGAATGCATTTTTACTTATGTCCGAACTACAAGATGTGACTCTTCAAAAGCCTTACAGCATAATACGTAACGTCGTTCCAAGTTCTTTCACTATCTTCTTGGTTTTGGACACCCAAAATATGAAGAAAAATACAAAAATCGTGAATCCTGGAATTGATTTCTGTTATTGTGTCAAATGATTCTTTTTTTTTTTCTTTTTCTTTTAACCAACTTTTTATTTTCCTTTTTAACAATTTCCCTTTATACTAAAGTACATATACGGCACATGCATTTTTCCCCTTTAAACATCTTGTCAATATTTTGATTCTCTTACAACCATGTTTTCATATGCCTGTTATTTCTTTCGGTTTGACCAATATAAAGTATATAATTTATATGATTTTTAAATGATTTTCAAGAACGTGTCCGAGCCACCAAGTACTTCACTATGATAGTAAATGTAGATCATATTTTTAAAAATCCGATGTATACGGAAATTAGTGCAAAGACTTTTTAAGTGCGTGAAAAATATGATCTTTCAAATTGACATAGTGAAATAACACGATGACTCGGAATCGTGCTTTATGCCTATTTCCTGTACAATTAACTATTAGAGACCGTGATATCTTTAACCATGAAGCTACATCTCTTGAAATGAATAAACACAACATGCAGTTTGTCGATGATAAAGTTGCTATATGACCTTTGAAAGAAAGAATGAAATTCTGCAAAAAAAATAAAATAATAATGATAAAGGAAAGGGGAGAATAAAGAAAAAATAGTCGTCATAATAAATCATCTGGTAATAATGTATTAAGTGTTTTCAAATGCAGAGGTAATAAATGCGATCTACAGCTACATGTATTTGATTTTATTTAAACATAACCTTTACACAATGTTCCAGGATTATCAAGATTTTCTAGGTTTCTGCTTTTTTCGTATATGTAAACAGAAGAGTTATTATCAAATAAATATATGAGGAGAAAGAGTAATGGAATTTCAAATTATGTTACTTTATTTATTTATTGAATTGTAGTTTTATTCAGTTCTAAAAAATAAAAGAGAGACTCTCTATTTATTATTACATGTACAATATTTATTCATTTTGTTTTAGTTTTATTTAGTTCTAAAAACAAACTGAGTTCGTTGTAAAAATTAATCATTTCTGTTTTTCCAAACAGGTTTAAGTTTATATCTTTCCATATACATGTTTTATATCAATTATTAATTAATTATCTATAAACGTACACTCTTGTGCTTTACATTTCAAAATGGCTCAAATTCATTATTTCTAAGCATTTGATTGTCTAGCAAGAATGCTGACAGATTAATTTTTTATGCCTACAATAATATATCAATCATATATTGCTTGATTTAATCAAAATAAATCGGTACAAAATTGTTACATGCAGCTATTAAAACCGGCGAAACGCCCCCCCCCCCCCAACACACACACACATACACTTATTTCTGAGTTTTCTGCAGTTTAATATTTTAATTTTCATTTAGATGTTGATCCCCCCCAACCCCCCTACTCCCCCCACCCCCCACACACATACGTTTTGTTGCTGTATGGTTGAGCACTGGAAAATTCTAGCATTTTGGGGAAAAAAGATTAAAAAAAAGTCCAACAGCACGAAATGAAATAGGATTTTCGAATATGAAGAGATCACTTTTTACTTGCTCTTCAATTTTTTTTTTTTTTTTTTTTTTTTTTTTTTTGTTTTGAGGTCGATCCCAACTTTTAAAACAGTTGCTACCGTCCTGAACTTCAAAATTCAGCTAGTAAAAATTTCTCCAAAACCAACTCTGCATTATCCTTTCAGATTTTTCTTTTCAATCGCTGTGTGTACAGAAAAGACTGAAGACTGCTTTGCAAAACCATCAGTAGTATAATTAAATTGAAGTAATGTTTCTTAATGACAATTTTCAGTGTCTTTGGATGAAATGGTGAGCGGATTTCGTTACCAGCAGTTACAACTATCATCAAGCATGATGAACGCTAGTCTACACGCTAGACTCCCCGAGAAAATGGCTGCAATGGAAGTACAAGAGGCAGAAGAAAGAGAAGCAAAAGGTCTTGTTTTTATAATCAAAGAATATATATATATTCTTTTAAAACCTGCCTGAACGTAACAGTTTCTTATTCTGTTTTTATATCATTTCTATTAGCTTTAAGAGGCACCAACGAAGCACAGACTCCGTTTATTGCCACGGAATCCCGTTATAACCTGGGATACATAGGCCGTGGATACGATTTGTTCAAAGGAAATCCCCTCAGCGACGACGGAGTGGTGGATCAAGGATTCCGCCTCCCAGTTATTGATTTACCATATTCCAGCAAGTTCACAGCAGATGGAAATTACCGAATTCCAGACAATGTTGATGTAATTGCAGAATCAAGGTACAGGATTAGTTAATTTTCTTTTTGGCAATCGATATTCTAATGGACTAGATTACACAATTTAATGCATACACCCCCTCAGAACAAATGAATCGATAAGTGTAATTCGATTTTTCGGAACATTTGATAAACTAACATGTTAAAAAATAATTTTTATTTTTTTATGAATGTACTGTTAATGTTCATACGAATGTTTGTCATTATTACCCTATTGTAGAATTATGTGTATTTATTTCTATGAATTATTCTACACCTTTGTACAAAATAATTATATTGTGTTCTTTCTTACTTTTAGTGCTAAATTCGGATCCTCTCTATATAAGGTGCAGTCGGAGTCAGACTACAAAAGCATGCTGAGTGTTGATGCTTCGGTAGGCTCTAATCATTTATTCTTTAAATTTTTATGATTTTTTATGATCTTTTTTCGTGCAATTTGCGACATGAAAAGAGGGCAAGTGATTCATCCAAGAACAAAATTCTGAACAGCGAGGCTTCACGCATGCATTTATTGATTGATTGATTGTTGTTTTACGTCCTTTGCGAGAATTTTTCATTAATAAGAGACCGTTACTTCCTATGTTAACTTCTTAGGTTTCACGCGCCACTGGGAGCAAAATTCGAACCCGGTTTAACACTTCTCTCCGCAAAGATTTCAACAAAGCAATTCAATAATTATTTTCAACATAATATATATGTAAACTTTTTTTTAAAGAAAATGATCGTATGAAAAACATTATTGAATTTCATTATATTTTATTCATAACTGGCAATGTTCGAATCCCCCAGATTCTCAGAATAGCATAATTCCATGCATATTCCAATATAGTATGATTTTCCTCCACTCGTGTAATTAAACGTCCTTCAACCACCTGAGCCCTCCATCTTATACATATTAACACATAACACAGAAACAAAAGGTTATGTTGCACTTTGCCACCACTGTGACTTTATTAATTAATTCAAATTTAGATTACATATAATGATGTAGATCACATTAAATGATTATGATTATGTTATAATAACCTTATTAAAACTTGATATACAATTATGAATATTTGATTATTTACCCCATTCATACTTTCAATCGATATTAACCAATAATTCAAATTAATTATCCAATTAATGATGTAAGTGATTACATTATTTTCAACACACCTATTCCTTGTGGTCTGAAACCGCGATACGGAAACAAATTGAAAATGGTTTTATCCATAATAAAAGGAAGGTGGAGGAATGTAGGTGGTTTAAAATCGCTTAAAAATTTCCAGTTTGTAAAGTCGTCGGCGTCCTAGTATTATATCTTATATTCTACATGTATGGTATACACCATACACCTATGGTATACATGATATATTATTAGAACTTGTTGTACTATTGGTATGTACGTGAATAATAAAATCAATGATTTATTTTACATCAATTAAGGCAAAAAGCCTGTAAATGTTAGGCATACATGCAATAACATGAGTTTATACTAGTATTTGGTAAACCAAAGACGTGTGCCTAAAAATTAATTAGCAGCGTATGTTCCACTACATCCTATTTATTTGAGTATTTGACCTTTTTTTATTATATATGAAAGATTTCGTGTTTTAATTCAAAATATTTCACAGATTGTTGTTTTGTTTTGTTTTGTTCTGTTTTTATTTTTTTTTTTTAATTTGAATCCCTTTATAATGAATATTGTAATTACTGTACACTGTGATTTGAATATGAATTTTGCTATAGACACGAGCGTTTTTTAAAGGTTAACGCTCATGGTAGTGGATGGGGAGTCAGTGCCAGCTTCAGTGCAAGTGCGTCTTATCAAAAAAATACGCAACAAATTCAAAAAGGGGAGACAACAACCTTAAGCATCGTTAGCCGAGCTGTCGTTTACAGAGCCCGGATGTCAGAAACATCCAAACTATCTAAGGTAGAGAACATATCGCTTTTGTTTTCTTTTGTTTTATGTTCGCGTTTTGATTCTAATTTTTAGCACATAACTTGTAATCAACATTTGTAAATGCAAAAAAGTGTACATGCAAATAACATAAAAGTATAAAATATATTTTATATCCTGGAAGTTGAAATAGCCAATAAAAAAAACACTGACCTGATTTTTCAGTAAGATTTATTTCTTAATTCCGTCTTTTTAGCTCACCTCAGCCGAAGGCTCAGTGAGCTTTTCTGATCATAAGTGTCCAGCGTCCGTCTCGTCTGTAAACTTCTCACATTTTGGACTTTTTCTTAAGAACCATATCGCCAATTTCAACCAAACATGCCACAAAGCATCTTTGGTTGACAGGAATTAAAATTTGTTCACAGGAAGTGCCACGCCTTCTTTCAAGGGGAGATAATTAAAAATTCGTGAAAATTTGGTGGCATTATTTAAAAAATCTATTTCTCAAGAACCATTGGGCAAGAAAAGATAAAATTTATGTGAAAGCTTCATAACATACTCTAGATTCAAGTTTGTTCATTTCATATTCTCCGGGAGAAGAGCGAGGCCACAAGAGGGGATCAAATTTTTTTTATATTGGAATATATCCTTATAAGTCTTCTTCTCGAGAACAGCAAAGCCATTATTAGTCATATTATAGTAGAAGTATCCTCAGGTAATGTAGATTCAAATCTGTAACAATCATGACCCCTGGGGGTACGGCAGGGCCACAACAGGGGATCAAAGTTTATCATAGGCATGTAAAGGAAATATATTTAAAAATATTGTTCCTAAGAACAGCTAAGCCATTATTAGTCATATTAATACATAAGTATCCTCAGGTAGTGTAGATTAAAGTTTGTTCAAATCATGACCCATGGGGGTAGGACGGGGCCACAAAGGTGAATATTTACTATATCAATACTAATTACTAATATTGAATATCACTATATTTGAACATAATTCCCATATATCACTATTAGCATGTTAAGGGGGGATGTGTCCTATTTTTTTTTTTACTTGAATTTTGGTAAGAGTTATCGCCCTCTGTTTTTAATTAATACAAAATCGATTTTTTCTATTAAAAAAAAAAAAAAAAAAAAAAAAAAAAAAAAAAAAACTTATCTGGTTAAAAAATTGTTTCCACTTGTCATTCTATTTCTTACGTTTTAATGTATCTTTCAAACACCGTATTTATTGATATTCTTTTTATTTGAATTTTTATGTTTTAACAAAAAATCGCTTGTCCCCATAGACTTCAATACAATCTTAGTTAGTGAATCATTGCTTAGTTAATTACTTTTTTGAAACTTTTTCCTGACATTTTTCTACTGCAAAATGCTTGAAATTAATATCAGAGTATTATGTACGTGGTGGACATTTAAGGATTTAGAATTGAATTTAAACAATATTTTATTATGCATAATAATAAAAGGATTGGACAGCAGGTACTGCCTATATAAGCCCTCTCCATAATACAAGATCAAAGGCATGCATGTACAAGTAAATATTTGTAAAATAAATATATACATGTGTATATTCAAAAGGAATGTATAAAAATACATTGTAAGACAAAATAGATAATAAAAAATTAATTATAAGTTAGCTGATGATACAATATATGTTTGCAGTTTAACATATATGACTAACAAAAATAATACAGGTATAAATGTGAAAGTTAATAAGAGCAAATAAATAGATGATTTAGAATTTGGTCCTATTAGGGATGGAAAACTTTAAGGGTAGAGCAAAATAAAAGTAGAAAAGATATAAACACCAGTGGCAAGTATCTTAAGGAATTAATGTTAAGTTCTGGGTGTAGTAATTCTGAAGACACACGGTTCTTATCTATCAATGGGAACCTAGGGGAGAAACAAGGTGCAAGTAGTTCTCAGTCCCCGTCTCTAGGAAAGAGAAAATGTAAGTACTTGTGATAGACAGAGCTATTTTAATAATCATTCCAATCATTAACTCAGAGTAAAAGGAAAACCTATATATTCCTTGTAAGAACTTGATCATACAGGTTAAATAGGAAATATCTTTAAAATCTTCTTCTCATGAAAAACTAAGCCATTATTAGTCATATTCATACAGAAGCAACATTAGGTGTTGTAGAATCAAGTTTGTTTAAATTATGACCAACCCCTATCCTAACCCTCACCCCTGCCCCAGGAGTTGGGGGCACACCAGAGGTCAAAGTTTTGCATAAGAATATATAGGAATGATCTTGAAAAAAATTTGCTCAAGAATAGCAAAGCCATGATAAATCATATTATTTATAGAAACATCCACATGTATTGTAGATTCAAATTTGTTCAAATTTACATAGGAGAAAAAAATCCTTAAAATTATGTTTAAGAACAGCAAAGCCATGATAAGTAATATTTATATGAAAGCATCCTGAGGAAGTGTTAATTAAAGCCCCCCCCCCCCCTCGTTCGGTACTGAACTGATTTCTGCTTCTTCGTAGCCAATGTGATCAGGTGAGCGATGTGGCCCATGTGCCTCTTGTTTTAACTATTACAGCAAAGTAAAAGATCCATGAATGGTTTTGTTCATTACGCACAGTACTTGAAATGTCTGCCGTGTTGAAACTTCTACAAATATGAAATACAATGTCACTTTTTCCCAGTCAAACCTGTCAATTTTCAAGAAATCTGATATTTAATTCCCCTCATACTTTTTATTTAGATTTGACACACATCCTTAATGAAAAGAGAATTATCTTCTTATTCAATTGTACAAAATCCCAAAAATGCATGCTTTTTTACACAGTAGCCAAATAATATGTTACATTATAAGATTTAACGCCTGTTTCAATGAATCTCCGAGGTAAATCTTTTAAAGCAACATCCAAGAACTGTCAGTTGTCTGTCTCAGTAATAATTTCTTCCTATTTCAGGTCTCTGATTACTTTGAGAAAGCTGTTATGCTCCTCCCTATGGAGAACTGTGAGGATGATTCACTGCAAGACATGTACCTTAACTTTATCCGGGAGTTTGGAACCCATTACACAACCCAGGTGGTCATGGGAGCTAAGGCAGTACAACAGCTAACCTTCTCTAATTCGGATCTGTCAAGACTGGAATCTGAGGGAATATCTGCCAAGGTCAACTGAATGAAGTTAAAAACTGGAACTGTTTGAATATCGTTTTAAAATTTCATTTCTGGTTTTTACCAGTCAAAATAAGTATATCTTCACAAGTATTCAAATCCACAATTTAAAATACTAGTAAACGTGATTAATGTAGGATACTAGTATCTTTGATTCTAAAACTCGATCATTGTTGTAGAATGTTTTCACGTATTGCAACATTTTAAATAAGTCCAAACTTTAAGGATCAAATAGGAGAATTCAAATTAAAGCGTCTTTTGTGGTTATACTTAAATGCAAAAAAATCAACAGCTTCGAATAAAAGATAATAAAGTTTAATCCCAAATATAGGTTATTGCTAAAATAGTAGATTGATTGGTTCGTTATTAAATTCAGATTGGACTATGAATTGTACAAAACTCGTGGTCCTTGAAAAATGCAACCAAATATAATAAGCCTAAATTTTACCCTATGTAAAAACCAGAATCCTTTATTAAAGATTGAATAGTTTGAGTCCAGGGCATGTCTGAAACAGAATAAGGAGACTTCAGAGATAGGCATACCTCCATTATACGTTATCTTTGAAGGTTTACTGATGCAAACTGAAATAATAACCATACTTGTAAAAGACATTCAAAATTCTGAACCACAGGTTGCTGCTGAGGCCTCATACAGCGGTTTCGGTGCTTCAGGTGGTGGGGGCTTCAGTGTGGGTGTTGGTTCACAAAAAGATGCAAAACAACGTGTGAGTAACACCAACAAGGAACAATATGAGTACTATATTGGTGGAAACCCTCCAGCTGGAGATTTCTCAGAAGGAAGTACGGAGAGTCTCAGAGAGTGGGCAAGATCCGCCGATGAGAAACCAATGCCAATTCAGTATAAGATGACGTCTATTGATACGTTATTGAAACCTGGATACTTTAATGATATCACATATGGTTAATATACGCATTTTTTCTTCTTTAAATATCCTTCATTGATTCAGTTTTCAGGACTGGGAACATTGAACATAAAATGTCATTTTGGAGAGGGAAAACTTTTTTTTTACAACCAAAAGTTTAATTATGTAAATAAAAAATATGATACATGTAATCATGTTAAATACCAATTTAAGCGGCGTGGATAACAAAAAAGATAAACTTATACAGATTTCTTTTACTTAATGTACTTCAATTACTTCAATTAATGCAACCTGTTCCGTACTAGCTTGTCCTAGTATCCGTACTAGCTTGTCCTAGTATCCATACCAGCTTGTCCTAGTATCCGTTCTAGCTCGTCCTAGTAATTATGTGCTCACTCACAATACCCTCATTTACACGTACTATATTCTCAATAAAATTCTAGTACTAATGTCTGTCTTTAATACTCAAGTATTTATGATTTAATCCTAAATATAACTTCAGTTACCTATCACTTACTTTCGGTAAGCTTCAAATGATTTAAGTGACACTCATTTTTTTTTTATTTAAAAATATTTACTATATGTGTTGGTTTTTAATCCCTCTAGAAAACTTATAACTTCCTTCAAAATAATTATAACTCTGAAAATATTTTGAAAAGTTAAAGAATCTAGATTGTCTAAGTAAATGCGCTGTTTTTCAGGTTTGTTTGAACGACGTCTATGTCTGCGTAAAGCGTTGTATAGCTACTGTAAGCAGACGGTGTCACCCTCCCTTTGTAACCCACCAGACGATTCCTACATATCACAGGGGGCACGACGTAAAAGACAAGCCACTGACGTCACCAATGCTATCGATATTATTAAGTAAGTAAATGTTGGCTTTCTTTTACGCATAAAGAAATAAATTTAAAAAAAACATCACTTTTTTGAAAGATCGACAGGGGATATTTACTCCTCCTGGACCTGATCCAACCTCTGATGTTTTTAGAGGTCGGTGTTTGCTCTTCTCCCAATTTGTATTGTTTCAATTGTTTTTGAGTGTAAATATTGTTTGTTATATCCATATTTCATATGAAACTCCAAAAACATAATTTGAAGAAAAACTTTTAACTTTAGATCTACCTCAGCCATATACCCTTAAGATGGAATTCTGATTTTTTGAGACAATTAAGTATGGCCCGTGAAACTCTTTAGCCTTTGTAATATAAATGTAATGTATCACAGGATATTTCAAATAATTACATGTTTATACATGTATTTTGATAATTTACCAGGTTTGGTGATTTTATAACACTTGAGAATATAAAGACAAGGAATTTTTTGGCCTTGTCCAATTCTACAGGCTACCTAAACGGAGTCGTGACCAAACCCTTGGTACCAGGTATGGAAACAAAAGTTGAATATTTTGCATTATTATGATTTGAACTATCTGTAAGGATTTAATTATGTTGAATGCTTTTATCATGTGTTGTCATCAATAAACATCAAGTCAAAAGTGATAATTCATATTTTTTGTTCTATTTTTTATCATTCTATTGACAGTAAATTAACCAATTTTATTCCATAATTTTCTAAGTTGGTAGCATTAAAAATTATGATGGCCTTTTTCAAATCAAATCGAGTGAAGGGGGCGCTACAACATTGGGAACTCCGTTGGCGTATGGTCAGAGTTTCAAACTCGCTTCCGTGGAGGTTAGTTTTGTATAACTGAATAAAATTAAAAACTTCATGTTTTTACCTATTTTAAATTATCAGAAATTAATGGGATAAATCCTAAATATATCTCTGAACTTTTAATCCATTTTACTTTATTTGTATGACATCAAATTTACTGATTATTTAAAGACAACGCTTAACACATCTCTTAATATAATAAATTTAAAGAATCATAAAAATGCAAGAGAAAGTGTCATCATGAACAGTGCAATAATAAAGTTCAAAGTAAAACATGCAACTACTGTAATTTCAGAATTTTGCAAAATTTCACATTTTCATAATTTCCCCCAATTTTTGTACATGAAATGGCAACTACCTGGGAATAACCCAAGAAATCTGGAGAAACACTCACACCTCAGTATTAAGCATTTTGAAATTCCTTTTGAGAGAAAAAAAAAGAACAAGAAATTTCCATATTTCTATTCTTGTGGCAACCATGAAAAAATGTTAGTCTCGCACCCACCAAAAAGTTAAACGGTAAATCCTTCGAATGGTAAGAGATTGTCTCTCTCACACACAAGATTTCCAAGTTGTTTTCGACCGATTAAGTCTTGTATCCATCCAAGAGATTAAGTTAAGCCTGTCATTAACTTGATAGATTAGAATGAGGTTTGAAATTTTCTTCAAATATAATAATTCTGTTTTGGATATGCATGATTTTTTTAATATTACGATAAGAGAAAAGGTACAGCACAAAACAAATCTATAATAGGGGGAAGATATGTTCATCGGAAGACCGTTCATAGAAGATGCCACTGTTGCTCCAGAGAGTAAGCTTGAAACAGTGTTTGAAGGAAAAGATCGCAGAAAGTAAGTTTATCTATGATTTGAAGGATACAAATATGCATGGCTAGCAGCCCTCTTCACTTGGTAATGAAGGTTTTTTGCCAAACCTTTAAATCTTTTAATGCATTTGAATGCAGTAAAAGGGCATAAAACTATTGTTTTATTCATATTTTATTTTTGAACAGATGTTTAGAACGTTTTACAATTATTTAAACTTCCAGGCTCTTTTCATTTTTTACAGATTTGTGGCAAACGGAGATCTCACAGACTTTTCTCTATTCTTAAAGCCAGGCAACGGTAAGAAGCAGTTTAACTTATTAATTTTCTTGATAACCGTTGATCTTTAGTTGCAGTAAATTTCTAGGGCCATCGTGATGATTTATAGAAATTAAATTTTGAAGAAAAATGCAATCAATCAAGAAACACAAATGCCCCCTCCTGTATATCTGTAGTATCATTCGATTTGACGAATGGCTTTGTACAAATATTAATTAAGGGAATTGAATTTGAAGAGGAATTTCTTTGAAACCATTCAGAAAGCAGATGGCTTGATATTATGTTAGAGGAGATGAACCTAACTCCTTTTTATTGTTTACAAGAAAGTCAGATAGTGTATAAATTCCATATATTTAAATTTGCATTTTCCAAAGAAATAGTTTCTTGGCTATTCGAAAATATTTTCAATTTAGATGTATAAAATAATAGTGTTAAGAAAAATAAATTAGGATATTTTTTTATTCAATATCAGAGCGACCATATTTGGTAAGCTTGAAATTACGATGTTTCGGACGATCATCATTACAATATCAAGTTAATATAGAGGGGACAGAAAGAACAGCGAAGTTTGACATGAAAAGTAATTGTCAACCTTACCGACATGATAGATGGTTTCATAGTGCGTTTACCGACAAAGAGATTGGAGCAATGCAGAGTGTTACTTTCATGGTATGTAAAGTCAATATCAATAAAACAGTCAGTAATCAAATAGAAATTATGTTTGATGAGTGGCTTATAAATGATGTTTTATGTTTTTCTGTAGGGAACAGAAAGACTGGAAGCTATCATTGGTTTTCAGATTCGAACCAGCGATAATCGTAAAATATTCAAATACAAGAAAAATGGTTTAACCTGCAAGGGAATCGAAAATAAATTTGAAATAACCACACCAGAAACTACGCCAGTCGGTAACTGAAAGCATTAAAAACTTTTTATAGTATGATTTATTGATATAAAGATGACATTTAAAAAGCTCTTTTTTTAACTTGACGTAAACATAACATTCTGACAAATATTACTATTGTTCCCATTTCTCGACGTCCTAGATCTATTTGAACATTATTATGGAGACTTACTGTTTATTATACCCCCGCAAACGAGGTTTAGGAGTTTTATATAGGAATCAGCATGTCCGTCCACCTGCCTGTCTGTCTGTAGACTTGATTTTGTCCGGACCTATCCTTGGAGACCATTGCATGGATTTGTCTGAAAATTTGTACACTCACTATTGACCATATAAAGAAATCATGATTGGATATTTTTTTCTCTTATATCAACTTAGTCATTTTGGGTTCATGTACATTTGAGACAGAATGAAGAAACTGTCAATGGATACACCTGTAAAAAAAATTGAATTGCAGCTAAATACTAGGTCATGATAAATTTTTTAAAAATAAACACTTAGTAATGATGAGACCGTATAAACCGAGGTCTTGTGTCACAATAGATGCTGACACAAAAAGATCCCTCCCTGCTCAAATGCTCTAAGTCCCGAGTAAAGTCAAATTTGTAGGCCTTCACCGGAAAGTGGTGGAGTCTCAGTATGAGTGAAAAATTCTCGAAGGGACGTTACAAAAAAAACATCTTTTCTTTAAGTTTATATATTCCTTTGAAACTCGCTCAGAATTCAATATTGACCGATTTTTATTTTTTTATTTTTTTATTTTTTTATTTATTTTTTTTTTTTTGTCATAAACGTCCGACTCATAAAAGAGTGACACGGGCACTTGACGTTATCTTTTTTAAATACAAAATATACCTTCGTGCTAAAAAAAAAACAGTTTTGGGGTTATATTTATTATGACAAGAATAGAAAAGTAGAAAACGTCAAGTGACTTTGAAAAATGAGTACAATCGACTGAATTTTAGGCCAAAGGTATACTAAATTGTATTTCAATCTAATGAAATCTAGGTCAATCTAATTACATAGATATTTACAAAGATTTATATAAAACATTTTTTACATATACTTGAAAAAGAAAATAGATAGAATAAATACATGAAATAGATATCTTTAGAGTTGGGTTTGTTTCAAATTTGAATTGATTTAAATTTCATTTTTAAATTGATTACAGATGAAAAAGAATACTTAATACAGACACTTTGATTATGTTCAAGAAATAAGTCGATTTTAGTCAAGCCATATAAAAACATCCTATCAAACGTTTACTGAAACTGATATTGTTGAGAAAACCTTGGCAATCACTATTGAGTGTAGTTTGTTTTCATATGGCTCTAAATATTTTGTTCTTAATTCATTTATTCATTATAATACCAAATTAGCCTATGATTAAAAATCTGGTTTCTTTCTTCAGAAATTGACATATACCCCACCCAGTTTTCATTCCATAGTAAGAACCACCCAGCCGGAAGTGTCGTCAGACATCAGGACACTGTATTTGTAGAGGTGATTTCTGCTGTAGACAGAAAGAAATTTTGGGGTCAACCAGTGTCGCATCTGCTGTCCAATAAAAACCGAATGATCACCATAGAAGAAAAAGAACCCGCACCACACAAGATTAAATCAGGTCTCTGCTGATAAGAATATAATTTTGAAGGTGTTCTGAACCTCTCACGGTGTCAACTCGCTATCTTTCATTCATCCATAATTGTTCGTTTGTAAACTACTGATCATTTTTAGAACCTATAGACTGGATCAGTTGTTTTTTTTTTTTTTTTGTTTTTGTTTTTTTTTTTGTTTTTTTTTTTTTTGTTTTTTTGTCAATTTTGAATTTATATCTTATCTATGTCTTAAGAGGAACAAAACTTGTAAATGACAAGGCCCCACTTTAAATTTTTGAATTGGGTTATATAAACTTTAGGTAAATAAAAACAGTACATTTCATGGGAATAATTAAGTCTTCTTAACATCATCTTGTATACCAACAATGGGCCTTCTTCCTCTTCAATATATCCATCTTGCTTAGCACATCACCAAGTGTAAACCGGATGTTATGAAATATTTTGAAAATATTAAATCGTTTCAAAATGATTCTCCTCTTACAGATTTTTTATAATTTGAATAAATCCTTTTACGAATATAGCAATATTTCAATAACCAGTCATGGTAAAATAATTGTAAAATATATAAATTGGAAAATGGTTTCAACCTTCTTTTCATTCATGATAGGAGTAAAATCTTGCTTACATGCAAATAATTGCGTCAAAATATTGAAATGTTATTATTCTTTCATAATGCACTTTCTTATTTGCTTTAAGGGAGGCGTTTTGTCATTCTTCATAGATTCAAAAGATCAAATCGAAAAGCCAAAATGCAAAATTGAGGTTTATATACTAGTATGTATAAACAAATAATAAAAGACACAATGACAATACAAACCTCTGGTTAAACATTAAATTGTTATGTTGAATTGTGCAGTAAATTTGCGCCTTCATATATTCATTTTAAGAGTGTATCTAGAATTTTACCTGCTGTAGTATCCTTTCTTCAAAATTCTATTCTATTTCCAGCTAAACTTCATGTAATCGTTCTTTTCTTTAAACTTTCAGACTGCAATGGTATTATTTTCCCCGACAATAACGGGCTTGGCGTGAGGATCGATCTGGATAACAGTTACTTTGTATCTTTTGCTGTAGATGTTATGATTAACAACATTGTAATAAGGACCAAAAAAGAATTCCAAGCAAGTAACTTTAGAGTAGAATATATCAGTAGAAACAGTTCAAGATTTCAACAACTGCAGGACATTATTCGAGATCCCAATAGAGGAGGTACGAAGGCTATGAACATTAAATTTCCAAAAATGTACTTATCTGCCATCAAAGTATTTGTAGAGGACGTTGTGGATTTTGCACTTAATGTTGAGAGCATCCTGATAAGAGGATGTCCTAGTGCTCTTTTAGAGGAAAAGCCACAGGATACGTCTGCTGAGGAATGGGATCTAAGGCGCAGTGAAAACCAACTTCAGAGGTATCCATTTCTAAGAGTTGTAACAACGCAGCAAAATGGATCCAATTTTGATAGAATTTTTCAGGAAATAGAAAAGCCATTCCTAAAAGTAAACTACAGAAAGGATATAAGTATTGATCCAAATGCAAGAAGATGCAGAGTGGATGAGGGATATATCCAAAATTATCTAATGACCTCGGACGAAATTGAAGGGCTGAAGTTTCAAAACACTCGGATATCCTTTTCACTCAATACAGCAACTATCACAACTGATGTGATGGCCATGAATAAGATAATGTACGAGCAGAATATGCCAGCATTAGATAGCTTGCTTCTCATGTCCGTTCAACGATTTCCTTGTGATTCCCAACAAGCCTCGATCATTGCCCCACAAAAGTCTCTAATAGAGGAATCAAGCATATCAACTGCAGGCGCTGTATCTATCACTGCTCTGGCGATTTCGGTTTTGATTGCTTCCGTGGTTATATTTGTTATATTTGCCGTAATACGACGTCGAAGAGTAGAGAAGGGTACGCATTTTTTTTAATTATATAATTAAAACAAAAGCAATAAATGAGAAAAGATGGATTCCTTCCAAATCTGGTTTATTACAATATTATCACAGTTTTATTACAGTATCATTTTATTGCTTATAATCGTATTTTATCTTTAATATTCTATAACTGACCTATCAAATATTGATTTTTAATTTAAATATATAATCAAGATAAATGCCGAATAGTAGTTATTTGATTTCATCTCGTTTTAGATATATCCGTACGTGTGCGTCAAATTGACGATGAAAACGTATTTGAAAATGATGATAGAAAGGAAGAGGCTCCAAACCAGATATATACAAACAGACTATATGATGTCGAAGAAGCAAACACTGTGCCGACCTTTCCACACAGACAAAGAAGAATGACGTAATTGATTTACCTCACTGCACAGACCGCAAGTTTCGAATTTTGAATAAAAATCTTAGCTTTAAATTTGAATTTCTATCTTTCTTGAAATGCTCAAAAGGTAACATTGAAATCGAGTTTCAGGATTCTTCATTTAGAAAAAATAACTGTTGACAGTGTATGTGTTTCAGCAATATTTAGAATATTTTTCATGAAGTGCCTTTCAATATATAGTTGGCAGAGAAAAGGTTACATCTTCAAAACAATTTCTTTTAAAGGAAAAATATGATGAATGCATTATATCAACGGTATTTGTATAAGTATTTCTCAAATTTCATAATATGTAAAAGGATAAATGCATAAACGCGTGTATTAAATTAGCATTTTTAATATCTTTTTTAATATTTTTTTATGCTGTCAAGTCATTTCTTTCTTTTAACAGAGGTTAATGTATCAAATATTAGCTATATGTTATTTAGTTAAAGATCGGAGCTAAGAGAGGCTAAAAAAAGGAAAAGTTGTATATAGGGATCACTTCAAAGAGTCACATTATATATTTTTATTAATAACTCAAACACTCTCTTGCAATTTTATTTATCAAATTTTCAAATACATGTATGTTTATGTACATGATATGTTTGTATGTTAATTAAGATTCTTATTTTTATGTACACTGCACTATGAATTGTCATCATCACTTTTTCTGAAAATCACATTTGGCCCATCTTTTTGAACTGTCTTTTGCGCTTAACTTGTTAAAAAACCTACGATTTGTATAAATGAAATAAAGGAGTATTCTATTTCTTTGTGTTTTATATATGAATATCGTGATAATTTATGATGAAGGGAATAAAAATCATAGAAGCCTCAATAGTAATCTTTCCTTTTTTCTGAAAAAAAACACTCATCTGCTGTGATTGAAGTTTCTTTACGAACTTTTTAAACATTCAGTGAAAAGAAACATGGAAAAGTTCTATGTATGAAGGAAAAAAATCACGTAATGGGGAGGAACTATTGTACCTATAAAAATAGATGAGACACCTTTTTTCAGTTGCAGGAGATAAAGAATACCATATAAGTTGAATTTTTAGCGAGACTCAAGTTTAGCAATTTGTCTTTAAAAATCGGTATTAAATTCTAGCAAGAAGTAATTTTAGTTACTTTATGGTGCATAGAAAGATAACGGTAACTTCTAATGCGGAATGACTTGTTAGCGATATTTAATTTTTGCGACCTCAACACCTCGCTAAAAATGGCAAATTTGAATCCTCGCTAAAATTTCTGCTTTTACGGTACTTCCAAACACTTGGTTAAACCTTGACAATCTAATTAAATTAATTACAGAATGATTGTCTAGATTATGAAGTGACAAGACATCTTAAGTACGATGATTTAAAAACAAAATTAGCTTCTGAAATTGCAAGAAGACCTGCATTTTCAAAGTTAAAAAGTACTCGTACTATTTTTATGGACAGTCAGTCATTTGTTTGTTTTTTTGTTGTTTAACGGCCGTCTCGAGAATTTTTCACTCATATGGAGACGCCACCACTTGCCGGTGGAGAGCTGCAAATTTTGTCCTATACTCGGCACTTACGGTCATTGAGCAGTGAGGGATCTTTTTCGTGCCAGCACCTACTGCGACACGGGACCTCGGTTTATACGGTCTCATCCGAAGGACCGGTCTCCACGTCCCACAGTGGGATTCGAACCTGCGACGTAAGGATCAACTCCTTATTCTTTATACTCTAGAGCGAACGCAATAACCACTGCGCTACGCGGGCAATGACAGTCAGTCGTGGTGGTAGGCTTCCTAAATAACCTCTTTATATGATATAATATTTTTTTTTTGTAAATATAAAATGGTTCATTAATACCAGACAACTGAGAAATAATAAAGGTGACAGGACAGTTTCAATTTAAAGACCAAGTCAGAATTGTTGAAGAAAAGGGAATATGGAGTTTAAGGGTTTATTTCAGGGTAACGAATCACAATTGATATTGAAAGTCACTATAAAATTTTCACTTAAATCGTTCACTGTTCGTTTTTTTTTTTAAATTATTATTTTTATTTGCTTATTTATTTTAAATGATAATTTATCTTACAGTTTTATAGGAAAAGAACATAAATTTTCCATCAACATTATTATTTTAAACTTTTTTTTTGTTCAACGGTAATTAATGCCTTATAAAAAATACCTGTCCCATCACACTTTGCACCTGTCACACCACTAGTGATAAATACCGTGAAATCACTAATTTTTAATTTTTGTTGTTTTAGTGGTACGTATGAAGAGACCCATGAATTCATGACCTCCACTAAATGTAAAATTTCAAATACATAACATCTCATATTTTTTCAGCCACGGATGAAAACCTCCAAGAACCTCATTCTTTCCTCTGACCACAAAATTTGACCCCACGAAAATATGTGATGTCTTTCTTAAGAAAAACTCCGATGCTTTTAAACATTGCTTTGAAAATATCAATTGAAAAGTTCATTGGTTTTAGGCAATGTTAGTTACAAAAGAATGATAAAAGTTACAGGCTTTCCAAAATTTTAATTTACTTTTCTTGAATTCCAAAGTAAATATTGTTTAAGAAGCCATGGATGTAGTCTGCATGATAACATAATACATTTTATTCATATTATCAGTTGCCATATATGGTCTTTTAAAATTAGAAGCAGATTCCTTGCGCCCAATGGTTTTCTTAGCTAAAGTTGATGACAGTTTTGTGAGAATATAAACTTTGGGATTGGCTAAAACCAAATTTGATTCCTGTGAATGTTGTATATCAAATATAAAATGAGAAGTTAAAGAACAGTGATCGATTTTATAAATTCTTTAAACAATACAAATTGTGTACAGGGCAAAGAAACGGACCCCTGGAAACACCATAGGTGGGATAAGGTGCCTTGGAGGAGCAAGGATTCCCTCTTGACCGGTTACAGCCACCATGAGCCCTCTTTATTGATCAGGTAAACGTAGTAGTCCTTGCTCAAAATAAGTATAAAAACAGTGGTTTAACAATTGGTATGAAACATGTCAGTCTAAATACGATCCAACGATTTGCAAAGGAGGACCTTATAACGACAATAGACTTTGCAAAATGTTGACTTTAAAAGAGATTGTTGAAAACCATTACTTGTCATAAGTCTGTCTCAGTTTAAAACTTGATCGTACTGAGAGCAGGGTTTTTCGTACTGCATTAGCTAGTAGACATGAACACCATATACAGGTTATAGTGGAATGTTAGTGCATAAATAAGAACAGTGGGAAAATTGAAGTCGTCCCGTTTGTCAAAATAAAGTTTAGTTGTTAGTTGGCTATTACCGTCTACACATGTACAAAAAGTCAGTAAAACATTGAAAATATGAAACGGATGCGGTAAACCCTGTGATGTTCTTTATTTCAAGTCCATTGGGTTAAATCGAGTGGATATACGAATTAAAATAACTATTTTTCATTGATAAAGCGTCGTCGTCGATATACCTAAAAATTGAATCCACAAAGAAAGCTTCCTTCTTTTCATGTACATGTATATAGGTTTTCATTTTTTTTTTTTTTTTTTTTTTTTTTTTTTTTTTTTTTTTTTAATAAATTCTGCTTCATAAAAATTTAAACAGGTCGGCCAATAAATGGGCACAGTTAGTACCAATCAGAATTCCAACAGATTATTAAAAGATCTACATGGTATCAATATATATGTTGTCTTCAAACCAAACATAATTGTAGTTATTTTTTTAAATCTATCAAAATTTTTACAACCTATTTTTCCTGCTTTTGTGGCAATTAATGAACCAAATTTGATCCTGTTTATACCTTTTCCTTTTAAAGAATGATGACTCAGGTAATACCGACAATAAACCTTCTTACACTAACTTCAATATAATTATTTTTTTTAAAATCATCCTTTTATTACTGTAAAATTTTGATTGTGATTTTGTGTATTGTAAGAGTACCGAGCTCAGGGATCTTGTTCATACTAATGAAAATCGAACATCTGCAATAGTTATTCACGACATGTGGATTCTTTTACACATCATTTCTTGACAGCGAAACGACAATAAGTGGTACTTAAAAGATATGAAAATGATTCCACTTAATCAAATACTTCGGTATCTACGTTTAGAGAAAGGATAATGGACTTCAGTTTGATTATAAACCCATGCAAATTTCGCATCCGAAAGTGGCACAGGAGACATAAGGTAGGTACATGTATTTTACAAAATCCCTGAGAACTGTGAAACGAAGTTAGAATTTTTAGATTTCAACAATCCGTAGTACGCTCATTAATTTAGGAATGACTCTAATTCTTGGCCAAATTATTCGAGTATGACCTGGTTTGGGTCAGTTTACGCTTTATAATCCACGAAGCGGATTATAAAACAGCGTAAACTGACCCAAACCAGGTTATACTCGAATAATTTGGCCAAGAATTGGAGTCATTCCTTCTAATTTAATTTTAAAATCATTAAATAACTATGGGTGTAAAATTTCGTTGCTTTTTATTAGTTCAAATTTGCCGCTCAATATTACAACCGTAATAACGGAAGTAACGGAAGTGATGGGAAGCGAGGGGAGGTAAAAACTGATACATAGGCCTAGCAGCCTTGTTGTTTGTTTACATGTGGTAAGATCGAATTATTGTTTGAAGTTAAAGGTACATTTATTAAATATGGAATTTTCCATGAATCCCAAGGACTGGAAATGAGAGGATTGTATGGACACAGATGATTCAGCTGGTTGTCGGGGGGGGGGGGGGGTGTCTCCATACCAAACCAGGTTATACAGAAATAATTTGTGTTCCTTTTTGGATATCAACCAATCAGAGGCTAGAATACAAACAAAATTAAATTATTTGTAAATAAACGACACTCTGGTAATCCAGCTTTACAGACCATTCTTGAATTTGACTGTATGACATCTATACCATGTTAGGTAAGATATAAATTTTGACTTGAATCTATAAAAAATCATGATTTTGTTGCCACTTACTAAATAATTGTTTAGTTTAACAATTAAT